GCCACAACGCCCGGCTATTTTTTGGTTGCAGCCGTCGTTGTTTGGCGGGTCCGGGCTGGGGATTCGAACCCGCCACCTTACGTGTACGTGGCTGGCGCCTTAGCCGGTTGAGCTATAGGCGCCGAGCCTCATGAGCTAGTTCTACCCCCATTTAAAGGGTAAGAGAAAGAAAGAAAGAATTCCTGTAACTAATAGTAGAATTAGCGGTTAAAGGCTTGGAGCCAGTCAGATCTGTATTTGAATCTCAGTTGCACTGTTATTACTAACTACATGATTTTTTTTCTTTAGGAAGTCAGAAAATCAGTGCTTAAATCATGAGATCAGTTCAGATAATGATCATCAGTGTTAAGAAAGGAACAACCAGGGTGACATGATAGAGATTGTAACTGATGGAAAGTTGGACTCCCTTGGGAGGATGTCTTGGAATAGTGCACAATGAGAGGGACTCAGGTGTGCATTAATCTGGAGAAGTGTGTTCTAGGCAGTGGCAATCCCATGTGCAGAGTCTATTGGGTGGGAATGAGCTTGGCAAAGTTGAGAAACATCAGGAAGCCAATGTGGCTGGAGTAGGTGGAGAGAAGCAGAGTGCAGGAGTTGAGGACAGGAGTGAACAGGAGCCAGAGCACAGAGGGCTTTGGTAAGGGGGTTGGATTATTCACAGCCAATAAGCATCACTTATTTATAGTGTCAGTAAAATGGGGCTCCTAAAAGTACCTACCTCTTAGGGTACTTATGAGGTTTAATGAGATAGTAAAGTGTGCAATGTGCCCAGCGTGGGTCTTGGAATGCAGAATGTATTTGGAAGGTGCTACTGTTATTCATGATAGGAGATGGTGCAGGGAAAAGAGTAGCTCAGATCTTTCCCCCACTGAGCAGGGCCTGAGTTGTGGGTGGGGCATCTGACAATGCTCCCTTACCCTATCAGGCTACCCGGGTTTCCAAGCCACAACCTATGCCAGCCGGAGTTACACAGGCCTCGCACCTGGCTATACCTACCAGTTCCCAGGTAAGTCCTGCTTGGTATCCCTCTACTGCCAGCATGTCCCCAGTTCCTGGGCAGTCTGATTCCTTGGGGTGGTATCTGGGGGTGCATGGCTGGGAGTCTGCCTGCTGGAGGCTTGGAAGGAAGGGCGTGTTTGAAGAAGGAGGGTGTCTCCCCACCCATTCCCTCCTCAACCCCTCCCCAGAAGCTGGGAGTAGGAGCTCCCAGTATGGCCCTGCATGGCACCATTCTCTCCCAGGCTATTCTCTTTCTGCCTTTCTTTCCATCCCACCCATCTCCAGGGTTGCTACTTCCACCAGAGGGCCCTGGGCTTGTGGTGGGGCCCTCCCTGAAGGCCAACATTGGTGTGTCTTCCTGGACACACTTACAATGACTGGGTGCTATTCTGAGCTCTTTCCAGGCCAGACAAGGTGCTTGTACTGACACCTTAAATACTAGAAAACAATTTAAAAGCATTACGATCCCCACCCTCTTTTGTAATTCAACTGAAAAATAACACTAGACCTTAAAATAAGTGTTAGGAAGCCCATTGAAGTTCTGGACTTTCCCATGATGAGTATTCAATGTTATTTTCTTATTTTTGTTTCTGTTTTTTTTGAGACAGAATCTTACTCTGTTGCCCTGGGTAGAGTGCCGTGGAGTCACAGCTCACAGCAACCTCAAACTCTCATGCTCAAGAGTTTCTCTTGCCTCAGCCTCCTGAGTAGCTGAGACTACAGGCGCCCACCCCAACACCAGCTAATTTTTCTATAGAGATGGGGCCTCCCTCTTACTCAGGCTGGTCTCAAACTCCTGAGCTCAAGCAATCCACCTGCCCCTGACTCCTGGAGTGCTAGGATTATAGGCATGAGCCAACACGCCCAGACTTAATGTTGTTTTCTTTGAAATATCAACTACCAAACTTTTGTGAGGCCTTTAATTATTTGTGGTCTTAATTTATGTGGAGGGTCTGTAAACACGTGCATCTTCTGTCCCTGGGGCATTTAACTTGGAATCCTTCATATACATTATGTTATTTAATCCTCCCAATAATCTCATGGGGGAGGGATGTTTATCTCCCATCTTGTACAGGTAGATGAGAAAATAGGCTCATGAGTTGCTAAGATGACTCAAATAGGAAGTGGCAGAGTTGGGACCTGAACCCAAGCCTGACCTATTCTAGGGCCATTGCTTTTCATTAGGCAGCTTCTTCATCAAAAAAACAAAAAAGAAGGGGAGGATTCTGGGAGAGGTTTTGGTGGGAGCTCAAGCCTTTAAGAAACACTCAGAATTGTACTTTTAACACTGCCCCATGGTATAGGTGGCAACTCTTTTCTCTCTCTCTGTTTCTCTGTCTTCTTCCCTTCCCCTGCCTATTGAGAACCATGCTCTCCCCATCCCCAGCTCTTGGGTCCTGTGCATGGCCTGTCCCCTCACCCAGTGTCCCTGTGGGTGTATTTGTCCTCCCTGGGCCATGTCCAAGGGGCCTCCCCTGCTTATTCTTAAGCTGTTTTACGTTTCATTTTAGAATTCCGTGTAGAGCGGACCCCTCTCCCGAGCGCCCCAGTCCTCCCCGAGCTTACAGGTCAGTCGCTCGGATTTCGTATACCTCATAGGCCACACAGGAGACTAAGGGGCCCAGGGACCTTCAGGGGGAAAGCTAGGGGGACCTTTTTCTCCTGCCCACCAGCCCTGTGTGTGGGGGCACAGCAGACTGTGCCTGGGCACTGGCCAGTCTGGGTAGCTACATGGCCCTTAAGGGTGGGGCATAGGGCCAAGGCAAGCAGATGGAGGCAAAGTCACTCATTCATCCATTTGGCAAATATTTATCTAGCACCTCCTGTGTGCCAGGCACCATGAGGCTCTGGGATCCAGTGGTGAACAAGCCAGGGTCTCAAACTCATTGCAAAGTGGGCCAGGTGGGGACTTGTACAGACCAGAGCCGGCATGCCTACACTCCGTGCCAGCCGGCTCCTGCCGGGAGGAGATGCACATTCAGTACTCTCAGCTCTCGTTTTTCCAGAGAAGCCAGAAACCCAGCTTTGCTTCATAGGAAATTTTCAATTATTTTGAAATATCAGCAAAAAACTCAAAATTTTTAAAACCCTGTGGGCCAAATGAAACATATCCCAGAGCTTAATTCAGTCCTGGGACTGCCCATTGGCAATTTCTGGGAAAGTGGGATGAAGGTGCTGGGTCAGTGGGGCTGTTTCTCTGTCTGGTGGCTTCACTTGAGCCAGTGGGCTCAGCTACAGAGCTGGCCCTGAGCCCACGGGGCCATGAGCACATGGGGTGGGCTGCAAGGGGTTTCTCTGTCCAACCTGCTTCCCTCTCATCCTACCCCCAGACTCTCCCCCAACCTGGCCGTGTGTGAAGGATGTGAGCATGGACGCTGCTTTAGATGAGATCTAAACCCTGGGTGCTCAGGGTTCTCCCAAAATGAGGGGATGGGAAGATAAATGAAGTGAAGGAAGAGAACCCTGGAGATGGAGGTGATAGAGGCTATTCCCTGAGTGGATGAAGAGTTTGACCAGCAGTTGCAGGGGTAGGGGGCTGCCAGGGGGTCCTTGTTCCTCTTTTAAGAACTATGTGTTGAGGACCTACTGTGCATGAGATACTCTGCCAGGCCCTGGGGGCAGAGCAGGGACAAGACAGAGGCAGGCCCTGCTCCTAAGAGGTTGCAGTCTATAGAGGGAAACAAATACTTTTAATCAAATAAGTAACCTTTACAGTGTGGTGCACAGGGCACTTGGGGTTGGCTCCCTGACTTTGCTCTGTGGAAATGTTTCAGTGGACCGAAAACCAGACCTCAGAACCCATCCCTGCCCTTAAAAAACTTGAGGGGAAGGAAGACTTGAGGGAAGAAATGCCCCCCCTAATATACATCTTGGCAGGTGGGGGAGTGGGTTCAAGGCTCAGGAATTCTTGGATGTCTGGGGCCTGAACTTTTCTCTTGCCTTGCAGAAAAGGGGATGTGGGTGTTTCTTTCATGCATGTCAATAAATATTATGTCAGGTGCCATTCCAGGCACTGGGGATATAACAGTGAATGAGACAGACAAGGTCCCTGCCTTCCTGAAGCTGATATTCTAGAGGAGGGTGATAGTAACAAGTAAATAAGGTATTTTCAGAGAGTGAGAAATTCTGTCAGGAATACAAAGCAGAGAGGTGTGCTAAGGCATTAGGGTTGGGGGCAGGGGGCTGCTGTAGTGAGGATAGTTAGGGAGGGCTTCTTAGAGGAGGTTATATCTTCAGTGAGAAGACTCCAACTGTGTGGATATCTTAGGAAAGACTCCTCAGAGTACAGGATGTCCAGAGGCCTTGCATGGGGTCCGTACCTCCAGGTCTTGTTCCAAGTCAGGGCCAGGGTCACCACCATAACCTCAAGGGGCACCTCTTGGGATGGGAGACCTTCACTCCTCACCAGGGCTGCAAAGGCCAGAGCTGAGACATAGGGGATGTTCACTTCTAAGCCCCAGGAGCTCCAGGCTCAAGCCCCAGCCTCCTTCTAGCCCCACACCTCACCCAGTTATTTAAGCAGAGGTCCCCGCTACTCCTTCAGTGAAATACCTGCTGTGAGGTGCTGGGCATTGTGGAAGAGAGGGCAGACAAGAAACAAGGGCATAGCAAGATGCCTGTGTATGGGGAGGGCACGACAGAAAGAGGCCAAGGGAACTTGGGGTAGGGAGTGGTCGCTTCCGGCAAGGTGCCTGGGAAGGCCCTGAGGAGTGCTCTTGGGAAAAGGGGGTGAGGCACTCAGCCTCAGTGTGACCCCTGCAGGGAGCTCTAGTACCTGAGTTGTACCTCACCTCGAGGCAGTAGGCCTGGCTTACTGTCCCCGTGTCCGTCACCAGCCACAGTCTGCTGGGGCTGGGAACAGGGGCATCAACTCCTAAGCACCTCTGAGCTTGGTGACCCATGTTCTGCTAAAGGCACTCTGGAAAAGGGGGCAGCTTCTAGCAACACAGCTTGGGTTAGGTGCCCTGCCCCCACTCTCCGTTGAGTTTGGGGTTGTCTAAATGTGACCCTTGAGTCCAGGACAGAAGCGGAGGCTGAGCTGCTTATGTTCTCTCCTACCTTTTCCCATCCATTCCATAAGTCAGGACACGATGGCAGCCCAAGGCAGCTCTTTCCGCCTGGACCCTGAGGCTGCACTGACCCCTCTGAGGCAGGGTCTGGCTGAAGAGGCTCTGCCTAGAAGGTAGAGGCCTCCTGCACCCACCTCTGCTCCTCTGCACCACACTGACATGCCTATACTTTTTCTTTCAGCCATTCCTCTCACTGCTTATGGACCGATGGCGGCAGCGGCAGCAGCAGCAGCTGTGGTTCGAGGAACAGGTGAGGCTTCTAGGGTGCGGGAAGCAAGGGAAGGGGTAGTAGGGAGCAGAGAAGTCCAAAGGGGAAGGGAGGTGCCACCACCCACCCTGTGCAGCGGGACTCCTTTGACTGATCACCTACTGTATGAGGGCATTGAGCTGGCACTGGCTGGCCAGCCAGGAAGGAGACTGGCAGGTTCTCTGTCTCCCAGAGCCCACAGGCTTGTGGGGGATTCAGGTACTAAAAAAGCAATAATACTAATGGCTGACACTGCTCCGCTACAGGGTGTCAACTCCAGAAAAACTCAGCTGGGACTTTTGGGACAGGCCAGAGAAGGCAGAGAGGAGGAAAGTTTATTTTTTTTGCAGTTTTTTTTGGCCGGGGCTGGGTTTGAACCTACCACCTCCGGCATATGGAGCTGGCGCCCTACTTCTTTGAGCCATAGGTGCTGCCAGAGGAGGAAAGTTTTTATGGCTGAGGGAACAGTGTGTGCAAAGGCTTGGAGGCCCGTGAGCATGGGGAAAGTGCCAAGTGGGGTGTGGGGAGGAGGAGGAAGGAAGACAGGTATTGGAAAGTCAGTGGATATTTTCAAGCCACAGTAGTACTAAGTGGTCAGGCAAGAAATGATGGCAGTCTGGGCAAGGATGGCAGAGTGGATGGACTTGGAGAGATATCCAAGTACTGCCCCCCCAGGACCTGCTGGGATGTGGAGGTCAAGGTCAGGGTGAGAAGAACGGGTTTGAGGGGGAGGTGCCATGGGGCAGCAGTGGGCACCGGGGCTTTCACCTTCTTCTTTCTGGGTTGCCAGGCTCTCACCCCTGGACGATGGCTCCTCCTCCAGGTTCGACTCCCAGCCGCACAGGGGGCTTCCTGGGGACCACCAGCCCTGGCCCCATGGCCGAGCTCTATGGGGCGGCCAACCAGGACTCAGGGGTCAGCAGTTACATCAGCGCCGCCAGCCCTGCCCCCAGCACCGGCTTCGGCCACAGTCTTGGGGTGAGTGGCTAGGCTTGGTGGCCTCCATCTCACACCCCACCTTGGAAGACCCCAATATTGGGAGAGCGAGAGGTTTTGATGTCTTCAGGGGCAAAAAGAGGGCGAGGAAAGGTGGATGGATAAAGAAAGAGACCTTAGAGGGAACATTGAGGGTTATCATTCATTCAGTGGGCCCCTAGTCATCACCCTCTGTATGCCAGGCACTAATGGGCTCTAGGGTTATGCAAATGAGACACACGCCATCTGTGCCTACGTGGGGGTTAGATTCCAGCTTGAGTAAGGGTTATTTGCAGATTCCCAGGCCCTACCATAGAGAATCTTCTAGCAGTGGGGACAGTTTAGACAGGGAGAGAGGGATGTGTGCCTCACTTGAGTTTCCTGTGCAGAGAGAAGAAGCCTCTGGGCTTTCTCTACTTTCCCCAGGAATCTAGGAGTCAAATTCCTTTCTTTTCAGGGACCCTTGATTGCCACAGCCTTCACCAATGGGTACCACTGAAGCAGGGGACAGTGCAGGAGGTGAGGAGGTGAGGAGGGGTGGGAGTGGAGGTGGTAACTGGGGAGCTGGTCTTGGACGGTCTGGTCTGGGACACAGACCCCAGCCCTGCCCTTGGGAACCCACAGTCCCTGGAGAACACAGACCTTTATACCAGCAGTGGTCAATAAATTTCAAATTTATTTAAACTTAAATGACCTGCTACATTTTAAAATAGCAGTAAGGCATCACATTCCACCTATCAGGTTGGTAAAGATATTTTAAGATTGGTAATGCCCAGCATTGGTGTAGGCGTGGAGTGAACAGTGGGTAGGTACACTGGCTCAGGTTTTCCAAGGAACAGACTGGCAATGTTTGTCTAGATTTCAAACATTTATACCCTTTGACCCAACAAATCAGCTTGTAGGCACTTATTTATTTATTATTTTTTTGGTGACAGTTTCACTATGTCACCTTCAGTAGAGTACCATGGCGTCGTGACAGCTCACAGCAACCTCCAACTTTTGGGCTTAAGTGATTCTCTTGCCTCAGCCTTCCAAGTAGGTGGGACTACAGGCTTCTGCCACAATGCCCAGCTGGTTTTTTTGTTGCAGTTGTCATTGTTGTTTAGCAAGCCCGGGTCGGTTTGAACCCACCAGCCCCCATGTATGTGGGCAGCTCCCTAACTACTGAGCTACAGGTGCCAAGCCCTAGGCATTTATTTATTTATTTACTTGAGACAGAGTCTCACTATGTTGCCCTAAGTAAAGTGCGATGACATCATAGCTCACAGCAACCTCTAACTCTTGGGCTCAAGTGATTCTCTTGCCTTAGCCTCCCAGGTAGCTGAGACTACAGGCACCTGCCGCAATGCCTGGCTTTTTTTATTTTTTTTTGAGACAGAGCCTCCAGCTGTTGCCCTGGGTAGAGTGCCGTGGCATCACAGCTCATAGCAACCTCCAACTCCTGGGCTCAAGCAAGTCTCCTGCCTCTGTCTCCCAAGTAGGTGGGATCACAGGCGCCCACCACAATGCCCCGCTGTTTTTTGGTTGCAGCCGTCGTTGTTTGGCAGGCCCAGGCTGGATTCGAACCTGCCACCTTAGGTGTAAGTGGCTGGCGCCTTAGCCACCTCAGCCACAGGCGCCGAGCCATGCCTTGCTATTTCTGTTGTTCTTGTTGTTGTTGTTGCAGTTGCAGTTGCGGTTATTTAGCTGGCCCAGGCCAGGTTTGAACCCACCACCCTTGGTGTATGTGGCTGGTGCCATAACCACTGTGCTACGGGTGCTGAGCCTAGGTATTTATTTTTAAAATTGGAAATAACTGAGATGCTCATGGAAAGGAGAGTAGTTAGATAAATTAGAGCATCTGCATGTGATGGGCTGTTACGCAGCTATTGAAACAGAATATTGGCCAGGCACGTGGTTCACACCTGTAATCCTAGCTCTTTGAGAGGATTGCTTGAGGCTAGCAGTTTAAGACTAGCCTGAAAGAGAACGAGTCCCTGTCTCTACAAAAATTAGAAAAATTAGTCGGGCATGGTAGTGCATACCTGTAGTCCCAGAGACTTGGGAAACCAAGGCAGGAGGACTGATAGAGCCCAGGAGTTTGAGCTTACAGTGAGATATGAAGATGCCACTGAGAGACATTGTCTCACAAACCCAACCAAACCAAGATAATGCTGACACACAGACGGAGTCCACAGTCATCACAGTGTGTATACAGACGGTGAAGGACTATACAAACTGGTAACCGGTGACATTTTGTTCACTCACTAATTTAGTCAAATACTTATTGAGCCCTATTCCAGGGAACAAGACAGACAAGGCCCTTTCTCATTCTACAGATGAGAAAACCAAGTGAACAAATGAGATCATTCCAGATCATGTGTGAGGGGGCTGTTTTAGATTAGAGGTTCAAAGAAGGTGTCTCAGAGACAGGTATATTTTATATGTGAAATACATAAATGCAGCCATTCAAAATCTAGGGAACTGGCCATCCATACAGGGATCAAACTGCAAAGGCTGTGAACAAAGCTATTCTGGGTGGGAACTTGGAAATGATAATGTGTGTTTGGGGGGTACCCCTAACCTCCCACTGTGTTCCCAGCGCCCCAGCCTGCAGCTGACTGAGGACCACGAGTGAGCCAGCAAGGGGGCAGGACACCTCAGCCGCAGCCGCCGCCCCCTCCCCTGCAGCGACTCGGACGCTACTGCCTGCCCCCACCTATGATGTCTGGCTCCGCTACTAACCTCCCCCCTCTTTCACCCACCTGTGCTCCGTCCCCCCTGCCCCTGTTCCGCCCGCTTTTATTTATTTTGGATTAGCCGGTTGCCCCCCACCCCTACCCCCAACCCCTCCCCTTGGGCCTGCGCCCCCTCCTTGCCGCCCCTATAGGACCGTTTTGTATTTGTGCATAGTTAGAGAGAGGGCGGAGGGAGCCTGCTATAGGCCACAATCCCAACCTCTGTTTTTTTATTCTGATTTTCCCTTCTTTTATTCTTTCCCTTTTTTTTTTTTTTTAAAGAAATCCGTTTTTAAACTATTTCTAGGTTTGTGAATGTGAAGCCCCAGGCCGCAGGGGGCAAGGGGCCAGGTGCCCCCCACCAGCTGAGAACAAAGTGTCTATGTGGGTGTGGGCCCCTGGCCGCCTCCCTCCAGCCCTGGACAGGAGGGCAGGGCTGCGGGTAGGCCAGGCCGAGCCCCTGGAACCATCCCGTCCTGTATCATATGTAAATACTGTGAGGTGAAGCCCCCACCCTCTCTGAGACCCCTCTGGGGTGAGGGTCTCCCCCTATCCCCTGTTTCTGTCCCCTCAGACACCGTTACTGTAAGCTTGCAGGCCTCAGCTGTGGCAGTGGCAGGCCAGCTCTCTCAGGCCCTCAGGGGCCTGCTCACCCCGAAAACCCAATAAAAGGGGTAAGGGGCACAGGAAGAGAAGGGCTTGCCCGAGCCATTGCTGGAAAGGAATTAACTCTCCAAAGGTCCCCCCTGCCCCCTACCTAGGTTGGGCCTCTATGGTTTCTGCTGAGTCAGCCCTGACATGAGTGGGCATCCAGGGGCAATTTGGTAAAGTAAAGGGCTTCTCAGGGAACCCCCACATTCTCTTACTGAAGTTTCCCACCAGGATGGTCTCATGGCCAGAACCCCTTAGCAGCCCCTCACCCCAAAGCCCCCTTCAAAAGGAAAAAAAAGAGGCTCAGAGTATAAATCTTCATGGATAGTAACCTGGCTGGCTTGGCAGGGCTGAGGCCCTCCTTGTCATCCCCTTTTTCTGCTGCCCTCTTCGCCAGGTCTGAGGCTAAGGGCCTAAGCTCCCTTCCTCCTCACCCATTAAACCCCCCTTTGGAGAGTTAATTGTCTGTGTGAGGTGCTTTACCGATTAGCCCTGAGAACACAAAGCAATAATCTTTGTTACTGAGATGCGCGGCTGTTTGTGTTTTTGGTTTTTTTTTTTTAATGTTTCCTAATAAAAAAGAAGCTGCATTTTATTGGTTTTTATTTTTAATTTTCTACACATTTGAGCTGAGTTCTGAGAGACTTGGCTTCCCTCTCCTCCTAGTTCCCTGAGCCTTCCCTACCCCGCTGGGCCCATCCATGGGCTCAGGTCCCTAGAATTCCGTTTTCTGATTGGTTTGGGGAATTTTTTTTTTTTTTTTAAAGATGTTACATGGTGTTTCGAAGCCAGCAAGTTACCGCCCTCCGGTGTCTCTTCTCTCCACATCTGTAACTTCTTTTTCCAGGTTTTATTTTCAGTTTTAAATTCCTAATAAATTATTTGAAAACGGTGCTGGGCTTTGCATGTCTTCTGTCTCTGTGCCTTAAAGTTGAGGTACCCTCATTTTCCATCCACTTAGGGTCCTGGCTGGATCGAAGAATTAAGTTGACGTAAACTAAAAAAAATTTTTTTTTGAGACAGAGTCTCAATATGTTGCCCCCGGTAGAGTGCTGATGCATCATGGCTCACAGCAACCTTAAGTGATTCTCCGGTCTCAGTCTCCCAAGTAGTGGGACTATAGGCACCTGCCACAACACCTGGGGTTTTTTGTTGTTTTTTTTTTTTTTTTGAGATAGAGTCTCAAGCTGTTGCCCTGGGGAGAGTGCTATGGCATCACAGCTCACAGCAACCTCAAACTCTTGGGCTTAAGTGATTCTCTTGCCTCAGCCTCCCAAGTAGCTGGGACTACAGGCACCTGCCACAACACCTGGCTATTTTTTTTGTTGTAGTTGCCATTGTTGTTTTAGCTGGCACTGGCCAGTTCAAACCCGCCAGCCTTGGTGTTTGTGGCTGGTGTCCTACCCACTGAGGTATAGGCGCTGCCCTACACCTGGTTATTTTTAAAGATGGGGTCTTGTTCTCGCTCAGGCTGGTCTCAAACTCCTGAGCTCAAGCAATCTGCCCATCTTGGCCTCCCAAGGTGCTAGGATCACAGGCATGAGCCACCTTGCTGGGACTACATAAACTGAATAAACAGGAGAAAAGGATATACATTTATTCATTTGTTTTTAGAGACAGGGTCTCACTGTCACACAGGCTGGAGTGCAGAGCTACAATCATAATTCTCTGTAACCTTGAACTCCTGGGCTCAAGCAATCCTGCCTCAGCCTCCCAAAACTCTGGGATTACAGGCATGAGCCACCACACCTAGCCCCTAGAAAAGCCTAGAAATGTATTTAACACAAGTTTTACATGGGCACAGGAAGCTTCATAAAGAAATGAAATCTCGGGTGGCGCCTGTGGCTCACTGAGTAGGGCGCCGGCCCCATATACCAAGTGTGGTGTGTTTGAACCCAGCCCTGGCCAAACTGCAACAACAACAACAACAAAATAGCCGGGTGTTGTGGGCACCTGTAGTTCCAGCTACTCGGGAGGCCGAGGCAAAAGAATCACCTAAGCCCAGGAGTTGGAGGTTGGAGGTTGCTGTGAGCTGTGATGTTATGGACTCTACTGAGGATAACAAAGTGAGAATTTGTCTCTAAAAAAAAAAATTTAGGGGCAGCACCTGTGGCTCAAAAGGGTAGGGCGCCAGCCCCATATGCCGGAGGTGGCGGGTTCAAACCCAGCCCTGGCCAAAAAAAATAAATTTAAAAAAATAAAAAAGAAAAAATAGGCTCGGCGCCTATAGCTCAACCGGCTAAGGCGCCAGCCACGTACACCTAAGGTGGCGGGTTCGAATCCCCAGCCCGGACCCACCAAACAACAATGACGGCTGCAACCAAAAAAATAGCCGGGTGTTGTGGGCACCTGTAGTTCCAGCTACTCAGGAGGCTGAGGCAAGAGAATCACTTTGAGCCCAGGAGTTGGAGGTTGCTGTGAGCTGTAATGCCACGGCACTCTACCCAGGGGGACAGCTTGAGGCTCTGTCTCAAAATAAATAAATAAATAAATGAAAACCCAAAGAAGCAGCAGTTCGAGTCAGTTACTATAGAGTTAATTGGACAAAGAATAGTAAGTTGTGAAAAAGCAACTAAAGTGGAGAGGCTTAAAAGATGAGAGTTATTTTAACAAGGTCTGTACAGAATTATCTTGGTTTGACTTCTTGTCCTTGAAGATTAGGGTGTTGCTTTTTCTTCTGGTATAGGGAGGGTGTCTTTCACGGGGGAATTTCATCTTCTGCTTTAAAGCAACAGCATGGAGGTCGGAGTGATCTTGTTCCTGCTGTTTTTCAAGTGCCTTTAACTTAGTCAATATGTCAGAGTGCTATATTTTTAAATCCTTCACTGCCCTTGCCCTCTCCTGTTTTACTTCTGGGAACTGGCTTTACTTTCCGCTTGACGCAGCTTTCATCTCCAACTTCCCCACTAGTCTCAGAGCTTAGCATTGACAATAAGATACCACTTCACACCCATTAGGAAGGCTACTATATATATATAAAACCTAAAAAATGGAAAATAACATGTTGAGGATGTAGAAAAGTTGAAACCCTTGTGCATTGCTGGGGGGAATAAAATGGTGTACCTGCTATGGAGATGTTTTGACAGTTCCTCAAAAAGTTAAATAAAAAATTACCATATGATCCAGCCATTCTACTCCTAGGTAGTATATACCGAAAGGAATTGAAAGCAAGAGTCTGAACAGGTATTTGTACACTAGTGTACTAGTGTAGCAGCAATATTCACAATAGCCAAAAGGTACAAACAACCCAAAAGAATGGGTAAAAGGATAAATAAAATGTGGTATATCTATACAATAGAATATTATTCAGCCTCAGAAAGGAAAGAAATCCAGGCCAGGTGCAGTGGCTCATGCCTGTAATTCTAGCACTGTGGGAAGCCAAGGCAGGTGGATTGCCTGAGTTCACAGGTTCGAGACCAGCCTGAACCAGAGCAAGACCCCCATCTATAAAAATAGCTAAGCCTTGTGGCAGGTGCCCATAGTCCCAGCTACTCAGGAGGCTGAGGGTAGAAAATTGTCTGAGCCCTAGAGTTAGAGGTTGCTGTGAGCTATGATGCCATGGGACTCTACCAAGGGTGACAAAAGTAAGACTCTGTCTCAAAAAAAAAAAGGAAAGAAATCCTGTCACATGCCACAACATGGATGAAGATTGAGGACATTGGTTTATATGAAATAAGCCTGTGGATGAAATATTGTATAATTCCCTTTATATGAAGTGCCTAGTGTAGTTGAACTTCCAGAAACAATGTGGAATGGGGCCTCGGTGCCCATGCTCAGTGGTTAGTGCGCTGGCCACCTACACTGGGGCTGGTGGGTTCAAACCTGGCCTGGGCCTGCTAAACAACAATGATAACTACAAGAAAAAAATAGCTGGGCATTGTGACTGGTCCCTGTAGTTCCAGCTACTTGGGAGGCTGAGGCAAGAGAATCACTTAAGCCCAAGAGTTTGAGGTTGCTGTGAGCTGTGACGCTACAGCGCTCTACTGAGGACAACATAGTGAGACTCTATCTCAAAAAAAAAAAAAAGGAAAGAAAGTAAAATGGGTTACCAGGGACCAAGGAAGGGGAAATAGAGTTGTTTAATGGGCACAGAATTTCAGATTTGCAACATGAAAAGTTCAACAATGACTTGGCGCCTGTAGTCCCAGCTACTAGGGAGGCTGAGGCAAGAGAATTGCTTGAGCCCAAGAGTTTGAGGTTGCTGTGAGCTGTGATGCTATGGCACTACACCAAGGGTAACAAAGTAAAACTCTTTGTCTCAACAAAAAAAGAAAGCTCAACAATGCTTCGAGGCATGGTGGCTTATATCTATAATCCTAGCACTTTGAAACACCAGGCCGGAGGATTGCTTGAGGTCAGGAGCTCAAAACCAGCCTGAGCAAGAATGAGACTCCTTCTCTACAAAAAATAAAAATTAGCTGGGTATGGTGATGCACACCTGTAATTCCAGCGCCTCCAGGGTTGAGGCCAGGAGTTTGGTCACATCACTGCACTATAGTTGGGGTGACAGATAGGGACACTGTCTCTTAAAAAAAAAAAAAAAAGGCTCTTTAAAAATACTTATAATGGCTCGGCGCCTATAGCTCAACTGGCTAAGGCACCAGCCAGGTACACCTAAGGTGGCGGGTTCGAATCCCCAGCCCGGACCCGCCAAACAACAATGACGGCTGCAACCAAAAAATAGCCAGGCGTTGTGGCG